CCAGGGGAACTCCTGACCGCCCTCTCACTCCGTGCAGAGGCTCGGGAGCTCTTCCTGCAATCTTACCGAGACCCAGCGACCTAGGCTCGCACTCGAGGGCTTGGCAAAAAACCCCTCCTTCTGAATGAAAAGGATGCGCGAGGGTCATACAAAAAGCTAGGGGAACTCCTGATCACCCTCTTGCTCCGCGTAGAGGCTCGGGGGCTCTTCCTGCAATCTTGCCAAGACCCAGTGACCTAGGCTCGCATGCGAGGGCTCGACAAACAACCCCTCCTTCCGAACGAAAAGGATGAGCGAGGGTCGCACAAAAAGCCAGGGGAACTCCTGATCGCCCTCTTGCTCTGCGCAGAGGCTCGAGGGCTCTTCCTGCAATCTTGCCGAGACCCAGCGACCCAGGCTCGCACGTGAGGGCTCGACAAACAACCCCTCCTTCCGAACGAAAAGGATGCGCGAGGGTCGTATAAAAAGCTAGGGGAACTCCTGACCGCCCTCTCGCTCCGTGTAGAGGCTCGGGGGCTCTTCCTATGACCTTGCCGAGAACAAGCAACCTAAGCTCGCACTCCCGGAGGCTCGAAAGAACGCGATAAAAAGGGCACCGAACCCATTACGATCTAGGGGTTCTAAGGCTGGGCCCCCAAAGGTTTCGACAGCCACCCTAGAACAAATAGAGTCAGGGATGACTGTGGGCAAGTCCGTACATGGCCAATGCCCAAGCAAGCAAGTGCTTGGAAAGCCCTAAGTCATGTCCGAGACCGGCAGGGAGGTCTCCGAATGGGATCCCACCGTAGGGAGGCATCAAGCCCCCAGGGCCTATCGAACGGCCCTGGGACCCACTAGAGAAGCCCTCTGGTACTTTTGGAGTGTGTCTCTGGACCGCTAGCTGACCCCTATCGAATGGGGCACGGGCCTCCACTTGGACTGACCGATAACAACTCACCGGAGATGTCACTGCTCGCGCCCACCGAGGGTAGCCTGACATATTCCACCCCTCCTTTCGAGCGAGAAGGATGCGCGAGGGCCGCCAAAAAGACAGGGAACCCACTATTGCCCTCTCGCATAGTGCAGAGGCTCGGGGGCTTTCCCTACAACTAAGCCAAGGTCTAGCGACCCGAACTCATACTCATGGGCCGGCAAACGCGATAAAACTCCTTACTCAACAGAGAAAAAGCCCCTAGAGGAGTAAATCCTCTCCTCCAGGGCCTCGGGGGCTACACCCGGCGGGTGCGCTTCGCGCACACCCACCGGAACCATGAGTATAAAACACAATTCCGACGGGAGCCGCTGCAAGCCAGAATCTCGACAAAACCTCAGGGAGAATGCTCCCACTCTCCCCGAGGCTCAGGGGCTACTGTCGGATACCATCAAAAGGGGTACCCTAAAAAAGAACCCCAAAAAGATTGCTTAGACCTTGCGAATATCAATGCCAAAGGGCAATCACGGGGTCTCGGCTGATTCTCCGATTCGCCCGAGGCCCGCGCCACAAAAGCCTCGGGCGAAAGGCCAACTCTCCGCCTTGCTGAGGCCCTCTCGCTGAGGCCCCGCCCCGCTAGGCCTCGGACGGGTTACCGATTCTCCGATTCGCCCGAGGCCCCGCGCATAAAGCCTCGGACGAAATACCGATCCTCCGACTCACTCGAGGCCAGCTCGGCAACAACCTCATCGCCTCCGTCTCAACCGACTTCTCTGACAAAACGTCATGCATCCAACCACTCCCGCAACATCGGCCCAGACGTCGACGCGGTCTGCGGCGGAGGCGGCCGACAGACGAGGAGGAGAGGGATCGGCGGGGTTACCGACCACTGTGCTCAGCCCTACGCCCATGACTGGCGCCCGTACTACACTGTGCCACCTAATCCCTACTCCCGGAGCAGCGCGGTGTGGGGAGTCAGGTCCGGGTCACTATAGCCTCAGAATCAGTGTATAGGACCAACTGCTCCCACCAAGCCTCGGCAATCCACTTCAGGGCCTCGGCAGCCTCGGGATTTGCGTCCGCCGAGCCCCCCGCGATGGCTCGGCCTCGGCACCAACTGAGCCTTGGCTCTTTTCATTGTCAACGCATAGCGACTGGCACGACGACGGCCATACCCTACGCCAAGTTGTCACTGGGGCTCCCACGTCGCATAAGATCGGGTGTGACCGGCACGTTGCTCCAGTGCATCAAGGACAAGATCACTCTGTTGACCATGCCACCATAGTAGCAAGCTATAGGACTCAGACACGCCACCTCCGCTTACAAGTCGCTGCATAGCAAACGCATGTATCGCCCCTGTCCCCCCTTCAACTATAAAAGGAGAGGCCAGGGCCGTTTCTAGACACGGGAAAAAAGAGAGACGAGCATTCGCATAGACTCACGTAGATTCAGACAAACGCTCCCCCGCTGCCTGAGAACAACGTCTCAAGCAGCCCGCACCACTCCACGCAGAGACTGGGGCTAGTTCCCTCTCTCGCCTAGCTTGTAACCCCCTACTACAAGCACTTCGGTGAAAGGAATACAAGATCGATCCCTCAGACTGGACGTAGGGCACCGATTGCCTGAACCAGTATAAACCTTGTGTCTCTTTGCACCATCATCCGGGATTATGGGCATGCAGTTCAAATTCACTAATTGGTTGAGGACCCCCTGGTCCAGAAACACCGATAGTGGTCATCAATACTCACATTGTTTTCTTCCATGTTAATGCCAACATTGTCATCGGGAGGACCTTCATCTTCTGGAATAATCTGTGTTGGTTCCTTTCAGACAACTATCGTCAGCTCGTTTGGATCTCTTGAAGTGTTTGGATTATTCTTTAAAAACTTATGCATAGACCCCCTATGTAATTGTATGAACTCATCTATCCGTGTTTCCTTTTCTCACTGCCAGAACCATACTTTTTGATGACATGATGCTGTTAAGATTTAGAGAAACAATTAGCTAAAAACGTAACTCATCTACTCGTGTTGCTGTCTCAGTGTGGGTGTGTGGCTCATCGCCGATCGTCGATTCGTCGTCGCTCGTCTGGGTCGGGCGGAGTCGCGGAGATCGCAGCGCGTGCGTCGCATGGCGTCGAGTCCAGCGTCTCGCGGTCTCGCCTCGCGCTGTCGCGTAGGCGCGCCCTCGCGTCTCACATCGCCGGTCGCCGCCGCTGCCGTGCGTGTCGCGTCCGCCCGCCGGTCCGCGTGACCGCAGACCGCGTCGCCGCCGCGAAAGAGGGGTCGAGTCGCGTGTCGGCGTGTGCGTGTGGCTTCTCGCGGACACTAGTTCTTTCTTTCTGTTTTTTTAATACGGACACCATCCTTCTCGTGGACGCCAGGGCTTGCAGGCCGGCAACGTTCAATACTGGGCCAAATACTAATATACCTGGTGTTTACATACTTGGGGTGGAGCCCTACCTAATTGGGGGGCCAGGGCGGCTGCCCCGCTTGCCCGCATCCAGGGCCGGGCCTGAATACGTTGGCACCAACTGCTTGTATGAATAGAACAATGGTATTGCTATTAGTAGAATCGATTTGTACTTGGCAGTATTATTTACCATTGCTAGTCTTAATCGAAGAAAAGGGCAGCATGACTATTGTAAATGAGTGAAGTTTTGACATCAAATGCCATTTTATTGGACAGGGAATTATAAATTAGCAATGATCATAAAGAGTAATCAGATTTAAATAGAAGAGAAACTACTCAATAATATGTCCACCAAGATGAGGTGAAATTAAGATGAAGGGGCAAGAAAACTAATTAAGAGCACTAACAATATGCAACGAAACCAAATCCAATATCGACATGTTTGATGCTGGGAACATTTAAAGTCATCTTGTACCCAAACAAGACAGAATAAGTCTTGTATTAGGTATTGTGATATCCGAAGAAAAGAATAAGTCCCAATTGAGTGGTGGGTATCTAGCAAATAATTCTCACAAATATACGTTTACAGATAAATATTTCAACAGATCCTTGTGGATTACCAACAAGATTTCATTCCAAGAAGACATTTCTATAGTTGAATGGTATTTGGTAACAGTGCTGTTTCAACTAAGGATGACCAAAAGAAGATGGCAGGATATCCTATATGCTACTTTTGTAATAAATCTGAAACTATTTTGCATCCGTTCTGAGTTGCTACCGCAGTTTGGAGCACAGTAACCCTATGTTTTAATGCTGCTTACGATACAATATCTTTTTAACATTACTTTGTCTCGGTAAGCCAATGTTTTACCAGCATGTGTGGTTCTAAACTCCCACGAGATGAAGGAAGAAATCAGCACTGGTGTGGAAAATAACCATGATGTGACTCCTCAACAACATCCTGGCACGTGTTCGGCTGGCTGGCTGGCTGGCTGATTGCCGGCTGGCCAGCCACCTCATAAAATTATTATTCACGTCATGTCATAACAGTATTTTTCTCTCATAATAATCAGCCGAAACAGTATTTTTTATTTCTGCCGAACAGGCCTCTATGAAAAATGCAACTGTAGGAAAACAGCCTGCAGACTTAGCTACTGACAGATGAAAGAGACAAGTAAAGAACACCGAACTATCACATCGAATCTTGCGGCACATGCATGGAGTATTAAATATAGACGAAAAAAACGAATTGCACAGTTTGGTTGAAAATCGCGAGACGAATGTTTTAAGACTAATTAGTCCATGATTAGCCATAAGTGCTACAGTAACTAACATGCGCTAATGATGGATTAATTAGGCTTAATAAATTCGTCTCGCGGTTTCCAGACGAGCTATGTAATTAGTTTTTTTATTAGTATCCGAAAACCCCTTCCGACATCACCGAAACATTCGATGTGATATCAAAAAAAAATTATTTCGCGAACTAGACACAGTCTAAAAACATGTTTAGTTCAAGTGTGAGCGTTATTCGTCCGGTATTTGAATCTCAGTCTGCTTGGTGTGGTTGCTCAGTGCTGAACATGAGTTAGCTCATCTTTATTTCTGAGTCAGGCATCCGTATGAACAAAAATATTGAGCCACATTAATAGCACTGCACAGTGCAGAATAAGGAAATTACCTCACCAGCGCTCTCTAGTTCTTCCTCTGAACTGCCAGCCCAAGGGGTGTCGGCTCTGAATGCCCCTTCCATGTTTTCCAGGAACTCCTGGACAGCAGCACTATCTTTCTCTGGATCAGGAGCTCTGTTTGAGAATGTCACAATAAAGCTGTATGCATGAAACATAACTAAGTTAATTTCAAACATTTTGACAAATGACCTACATAAATGTCAAATATTAATAGCTCCTAAGTCTAGTAAGAAAAATGAGGCATCTCAACTGCATACAGCTGCATTTGGAAAGTTCAAGAGCACCCAATAGTCCAGGAAACGTTTATTCACAACTCTGGGCTTCTCACCCCAATAGTAGCATATACTTGTTGATCCCTCAGTGTCAGGTAAGCAGTAAGCTTACCAGCACACACACTCACTTATTATAGCTAGAGCTAGAAGAAAGGGTGAACATAGGCGCACACACAACATAAGCACCAGCGTTGACCAGAGCTCTGCTTTTTTTGTTTGTGGCAACTGAACTACCTGTTTTCATTATATAGAGGTAAAGTATATACAACTCATGTACCATCTATAAGGTACACATGAGCATGGCTGAATACAGCCCTAACTACTCCTAGTACTAACAGTACAATTCCTACCTCAGCCCACTACCAAGACATGGCTGATGTATTAGCTACCAACTAATATACCAGTGGTGACTTATTGCCCTACTGCTACAGCAACTAGGACAGCAAAGAATAACCTATTGTCAAATCTACTGTGTAACAAACAAAGAGTGAGAGGTCAGCAGCAGATTATATCTTACAATACTCAGCTATCGTGACTATACCGCAACTCAAGTGAACCTTGGTTTCGTACCAGGCACTATTGGGAAATCCAAGCCATACTCTGACCCCAAACAGGAAACAAATATAGTTATCATGAAATGAAAAATTAAACTCACTGCGTTAAGCCCAACGTAAGTACTCCATTATTTTCTACCAACTCTGGCATCATCTACATATGCTAAAGCATAGACACAATCAATCAAGTTTGCGGTACGGTACAGTACATATGATAAACCTCAATGCAAAACTATCTCACATTGTGCAATGTCTCTATCATATTGCAGCTTGAAAGGCATCCGTCAAAGTAACCTAAGCCTGAAATCCAGAAGTGGCGCAAAAGGAATGACCTGTGGATCCAGCTCGAACCTACGTAGACGATAGGTTCGGCAGATTTAACTTTTTATCATTATAACAAATAACAAATGATACCTCTTCAAATAGCACTTTAACGAATGTCAATATATTTTCATTAGCACAGAGAGAAAACAGCTACAAATTTACCACTTTTGCTAACGTGGCACACCAGCTCTTCATGCCAGCGTGGATTCGAGTCAACGGGGCGTGTGAAATGTCCCTCCTGCCCTTTTCCTCTCCACCCACGCAGCTGGCATTTTCGCCCCATGCTCCTGGCGGCCGCGGCAACTCGCATGCCCAGCGTTGGCCAGGCTGGTAGCCCCAGGCACCTGCAGCGCGGCACCTCATGCCCAGCTGCGGCGGTGCTCCGGCCAGGCGGTGGCGCGCTGTTGCCCGCGCCCTGGCTCGGCGACGGTGTGCGCGCTCGCACCATGCCTCGGTAGCTCGCGCCCTGGCAGTGCCCGCACTCGCAGCCCAGAACACGGCAACTCGTGCCCGGCGAGCTTCGGATCAGTGGCTGCCTCCGCACCGGCGCTTGAGCTCGTCCACGAACTCATCGAAGCTGCGCCGCGATGAGCCACCGGGCGCCACGGCAGCCTCGAGTGTGCCCCTCAGCTTCTTCACCTGCTCCCTAAGCTTGTGCTGTCTTCCTCGCCCATCACCCCTTCGATCCGCGCCTTCACCTCGTTGGCGCACACCGTGCCGCGGTCCTCGATGGACACGCCGGCGCGCCACTCCTGCACGACGAGGCGCCGGTTGGTGATCTGGTCCGTGAGCAGCGGGAAGCACAGCATGGGCACGCCCGCCCACGCGCTCTCCAGGATGGAGTTCCAGCCGCAGTGCGTGAGGAAGCCGCCAACGGCGGCGTGGGAGAGCACCTCCACCTGGCAGCACCACGGGACCACGAGCCCCCGCCCCACCGCGGCGCCAGCGAACCCCTCAGACAGCGGGTCCAGGTCGTCGGAGCTGATGATGTCCGGGCCCGTGCATAGGTCCATCACTGTGTGGGTCCACGCTGGGGTTGCCGCGCCGGTGAGCTGCGCCAGCTTCGGCTCTAGCTCGACGAGCTCGCAGTCGAGGTCGTCGGCCAGCTGCGACCGGTCCACGGACTTGACGGCGAAGGCGTCGCCGGTGGTGCGGGACGTCTAGCGCTGACCCACCCACGCCTGGGGGTGGCTCGGCCAGAGGTGGCCAAGGCGGCCCGGCCACGGCTGCTGGCGACGGGTACGGCCACAGCCCAGCAGTAGAAGCGCTCCGGCGTGCTGTAGCGGTGGCGAGCGTCATCAGCGCGCGATGGAGCGGCTGAGCCTCAGGGTAGGCGGAGGTGGGCCGCAGGGCTCCAACCGCGCACATCAGCTGCCTGCGGACGTGCACATCGACAAGGTGGCTAAGCGGCGAAGCTGGAGGCGCGCTCGGTTCTGCCCGCAAGCGCGTGCAGCAGAGGGAACGGCGGTGGCCGAGCTCGAGGCTCGCGGCCATGGCAGCCGGTGCGCACGCGACCGGCTGGCTACGCGCGCACGCGGTGGCAGCGGCGATGGCCTGACTCTGGGGCTGCTCCGGCGGTCTCCGGCTCGGGCGAGGTGTGTCGAGCGGAGAGGTGGACGAGGCGGACGCGGTGGTGCACGCGGTTGGCTCTAATTCCTACTTCCCTCCTCCCGCTACTTCGGCTACACAGGCCACTAGAGCTCGACCTATCGCAATATGCTTCGACGCGGATCTCGTCACCCACGAACTGAATCTCACATGAACCTAATTTCACCCATGGGATTGAGGGGGAGTGGGCGCGGGGGCAAGTCATGCCAGGCCAGCGGCGCCGTCGAAGAGGCGTCGGCGTTCCCCTCCATCGTCGTCGGATCGGAGTGCCCGACAGTTGAGATCAGCGGATGAGCGGATTGGCTGGGTTCTGAGGAGGTTGGAGAGGGGAAGTCAAGGGCGCCCCGGATGGACCGACCACGCGGCGATTTTCTGTACTGTCGGAGTCGAAATCGCCGAGGGTGTGGATGTATGGTCCTATGGGTCACGGCGCAACCGGACGAGCAAGATGGGCATTTTGCCCTTCCGCATTGTTCTCGTGTTTTGTGTGTGTGTTTTCCTTCTCATTTCGATGTAGTCATTGAAAATAACAAATTGAGATGGATGTTTTGTTTGACGTCATAATTAGGAATGCAGGTTTTGCTTTATCCGAACCATTGGGTCGGGTCACGTAAAACCCATTAAGGGCTTGGTCGGATGCGTTGTAAAAAAATCCAAATTACTCTTGTATATGTTCTAGATTACCTGATTATGTTGTTGTTAATATAGAAAATACTTATTCAATGTGTACGTGCATGATGTGTGTCATCATAGCTGTAGCATAGTGGTTAGAAGAGCCTCAGTAGCAACTTAGGTCCTGAGTTCAACTCCATGTAGAAGCGAATATTTCAGGATTTAACGGCGTTGTGCTTTCAGTGGTAGGCGACATTGCCATCAACGGCTTTGTGCTTTGCGTGCATTTATAGGGGTGAGTATGCGTGCGTTGTGAGTGTCTGAATTATACTGTGTAATTAGAAAAAAGATCACATATATATACACTCAACAGAGCGATGGGCACATCAATTTTTATGCCAAATACATAGTCCAACCTAAACATACATAAACATTATATGTAAAGATGTTAAGCTATGAATAGATACGGAAACATCTATAGTACTAATAGTTGATGTATTAATAGTTGATTACTAAATTCCATAAAATCAAGCAAAAGATTTCAGAGTGTCTATGTGGCAACTGAAGAGTAGTAAAGGTAAGCAATTTATTAGTCATGTGCACTAAATTTATACATGAATTAGCACCTTAAAGTGGATAGCGTTAAATTATGTGTATTACATTGATGGATGATGGAATACAATTTGTAGACAGACTTGCCCCGCATGTAAAGGTTTTTGGCCCTTTGCCTATTGGATTGGAAGTGGTCTAGATTAATTTGGTAATGTAGCAGTGCTCTTACATAACGTTTGGTTCGAGGTAATTGAAATGAGCGAATGGGAGTTTGAAGATATGAGTTTATAAATATTTTGTTTGTTTTGCGAGCGAGAGTGAGTTTTTGTGGGGCGAAAAATAGAAATTTAAAGCAACTCCCACCTATCACTTACCAGTGGGATGGTGAACGTATTTTCACCATTTATCGTGACTTGTCATATCATTTCTTACTTAAAGACCCACATGTTAGTTTGATCTCCACCAATTGGCCCAACGTCCAATTGGGTCCTTGGATCAGCGCCCTGATCGGGGGCGGCCAACCGCTCTATGGTTGGTGGGCCTCCGTCGCATAGCACCATAAAAGGGAGGTGGGGCTGGGGCTCTATCTACGAGGTTCACCTGAGTCACCAGAGGCCCCACCTCTATCCGAACGCTAACCGATCAAGAGAGACGGTGCTTCCAGCGACGGGAAGCCGCCACCGACTTCGTCGTCGCCTCTGCAGTGCCACCACCGGGACGCCTTCGACCACCATCATTGCACCATGCCTGCACCTACGATGGCCTACCACGCGCGTCACGGCTACCACTACTCCACCACGACGCGACCACCGTGGCTCCGGCCGTGAGCGAACTAGCTACCAAGGTACACCAACGAGTTGTTCATACCTGCTAGATCTACACTTAGAGGTTAACAAAAACTATCAATGGTATCAGAGATAGGTTCTAGTGTAGATCTAAATTAGGGGTAGCAATTTAGAAGGACATGAGAAAGATCCAATTCGGATCGAGATAGAGGGTTCCGAACCCTAAACCCAAAATCGGGGAAGAAAAGGAGTGAGAAGGGCCTCGGTTTTTTTAAAAACAACTGAAAGCTCTAGTTTGGTTTTGGTGAATTGATGAAATCCTAAGCGCTAACCTAGTTTATCAAGTGATCATGATATAGGTAGCACACTCCAAGTGGTGAAGCAAATGAAGATCATAACATGATGATGGTGATGCCATGGTGATGATCAAGTGCTCGGACTTGGAAAGAAGAAAGAGAAAAACAAAAGGCTCAAGGCAAAGGTACAAATTGTAGAAGCCATTTTGTTTTGGTGATCAAGACACTTAGTGAGTGTGATCATATTTAGGATCGATAGACGTACTATTAAGAGGGGTGAAACTCGTATCGGAATGCGGTTATCAAAGTGCCACTAGATGCCCTAACTCATTGCATATGCATTTAGGATCTAGTGGAGTGCTAACACCCTTGAAAATGTTTGTGAAAATATGCTAACACATGTGCACAAGGTGATACACTTGGTGGTTGGCACATTTGAGCAAGGGTGAAGAAGTTTGAGGTGAAAAGGAGTTAGTGTCGCTGGCTATACAGTGACCGGACGCTGGACCTCTGGGGGACTGGCGCGTCCGGTCATGTATAGTAGTGAAGACGCCAGCGTCGATGATTGATCGGATGCTGGGTCATGGACAGACCGGGTGCTAAGGGTCTGGGTCCGGTCATATTGTCGAGCGGCACAGTAAGAAGTCATAGTGTGATCGGACGCTGGCAGGGTCCGGTCAAGCATGATCGGACGCGTCCGATCGAAGAAAGTCATTTCTGGAACCTTACTGGAAATGACCGGACGCTGGAGGCTAAGCATCCGGTCAGTTGTAGCGAAGCGTCCGGTCAACAGACGACCATTGAGATCAGACGACTCCTATTGAATGCAGTGCGACACGTGGCTGACATCGAGCGACCGGATGCTAGGTTCTGAGTCCGGTCAGTTTGACCGGAGCGTTCGGTCACCCCGCGCTGTACCCAGTGAAGGGGTACAACAGCTCTATTTCATGGGGGCTTCTATTTAAGCCCCATGGCCGGCTCAAGCTCACTCTCTTGGCCATTTGCATTGACATAGCAACCTTGTGAGCTTAGCCAAAGCCCTCCCACTCATTTCCATCATAGATTAAACATCTTTGTGAGATTGGGAGTGAATCCAAGTGCATTGCTTGAGTGTTTGCATCTAGAGGCACTTGGTGTTCGTGTTTCGCTGCGGGATTCGCTTGTTACTCTTGGTGGTTGCCGCCACCTAGACGGCTTGGAGCAGCGAGGATCGTCGAGTGGAGGGTGGTGATTGTCTCCGGCTCCGATCATGATGATTGTGAGGGGTTCTTGACCTTTCCCCGGCGGAGTGCCAAAAGGGACTCTAGTGGATTGCTCATGGCTTGTGTGATCCTCATCTTGTGTTGGTTGTGCGGCACCCTATTGAGGGTTTGGCATGTGAAGCCAATTAGCGCGTGAAACTCCAAGTGAGTGAATCGCCACAACGAGGACTAGCTTGCTGGCAAGCAAGGGAACCTCGGTAAAAAATCATTGTGTTCATCATTGATTCCGAGGTGATTGGTCTTCATTGTTATTCATCCTTGTGATTGATTGGTTTCTTCATCTACACGGCGGTATAACTTTCTTGATCACTCTCTTTACATTACCGCAAACTAGTTGTCAATCTCTTTAGTGTAGTTAGTTGTGAGAGCTTGGTTGGTTGGTTAGTGTGACTCTTTAGTTAGCTTTTGAGATCACACTAACATAGGGTAGTGTTATAGCTATTGTGTGAATAGATACTATCTAAACTAGAATTGTGGTAGGTGGCTTGCATTTTGAGTAGGCTAGCGCAACATTTGCTTCGCCTCTTAATTGTCTAACCGTGTTGTTAAGTGTTGTTGTAGAAATTTTTATTAGGCTATTCACCCCCCTCTAGCCATTAGGACCTTTCAACAACCCTAACCCACGCAAACAGCTCGGGGAAGAAGAACAGTACGAAACCCTAACCATAATCCCCAATCGGTAAAGAACCAAGAACACAGCAAGATCCAAAGACAGAAGAGGGGAAGGGAAAGAGGGAAGGGCTTACCTCGCCGATCTCGAATCAAAACAAAAAGAAAAATTGAATTGGGTTAATCCTAACCCTAACGAAACCCTAACCCTAACTCACGACGAGGAAGGGGAAGAGAGCGAATTGGACAAGGGGAAGAAGCTCCTACCTGGGGTCCACCCGCTCTGTCTCCACCACCGACCGTCGCATGGACGCCGCACAGGAAGTCAACCCCAGCCGTCGGGGTGGGAGAAGCGCCGCCGCATGATCTTCGTCTCGGGCTCAAGCCAAAAGGGCACCACCGTGGTGCCGCTCAACGGTGCCGCGCGTGGCTCCGGGCGCATGCCTGCGCCGTCGGCGAGGGGTGTCACGGCGAAGCCGCCATCCCCTGTGTTGTGTCCGCCTTGAGCCCAGTTGTGCTCTGTCGCTCGTGGGGCTGAGAGAGAGAAGGGAAGAAGAGAAATGACACTAGGGTTTCGGGGGAGGCTACGCTTTTGTCTATGGCCAGATTATGGTATTTTATTTCCGTGACAAGCATGCTCACCGTCGATTAGAGCGGACGGTTTGCAGCAGATCGATCAGGCCAACAATCGATTAGAAATTAAATTGAACCAATTGGCGTAATTTAATTTTTGAAAATGGCTTTTGACCCTAGGCCGAAGTTACGGCCTA